TGCCTTGGCAGGAACTAATGGGGATCCATAGGACTGAAAACCTCCCTCTGCAACTGGATCCTGGACTTCCTGACGGGCCGCCCCCAGGTGGTGAGGGTAGACAACATCACCCCAGGTGGTGAGGGTAGACAACATCACCCCAGGTGGTGAGGGTAGACAACATCACCCCAGGTGGTGAGGGTAGACAACATCACCCCAGGTGGTGAGGGTAGACAACATCACCCCAGGTGGTGAGGGTAGACAACATCACCCCAGGTGGTGAGGGTAGACAACATCACCCCAGGTGGTGAGGGTAGACAACATCACCCCAGGTGGTGAGGGTAGACAACATCACCCCAGGTGGTGAGGGTAACAAACATCACCCCAGGTGGGAGGGTAGAACAACATCACCCCCAGGTGGTTGAGGGGTAGACAACATCACCCCAGGTGGTGAGGGTAGACAACATCACCCCAGGTGGTGAGGGTAGACAACATCACCCCAGGTGGTGAGGGTAGACAACATCACCCAGGTGGTGAGGGTTTTGACAAACATCACCCCAGGTGGTGAGGGTTTGACAACATCACCCCCGACAGTTTTAGTAGTATATTTACTCTATAGGAGACAGTGTAGTAGTATATTACCTTATAGGAGACAGGTAGTGTTTTATTTACCTCTATAGGAGGGCAGTGTAGTAGTATATTACCTCTATAGGAGACAGTGTAGTAGTATATTACCTCTATAGGAGACAGTGTAGTAGTATATTACCTATATAGGAGACAGTGTAGTAGTATATTACCTCTATAGCAGACAGTGTAGTAGTATATTACCTAATAGGAGACAGTGTAGTAGTATATTACCTCTATAGGAGACAGTGTAGTAGTATATTACCTCCTATAGGAGACAGTGTAGTAGTATATTACCTCTATATGAGACAGTGTTAGTAGTATATTACCTCTATAGGAGGGCAGTGTTTGTAGTAGTTATTACCCATATAGGAGACAGTGTAGTAGTATATTAAAAAAAAAACCTCTATAGGTAGACAGTGTAGTAGTGTATTAACTCTATAGGAGGACAGTGTAGTAGGTAATACCTATATAGGAGACAGTGTAGTAGTATATTACCTCTATAGGAGACATGGTAGTAGTATATTACCTCTATAGGAGACAGTGTAGTAGTATATTACCTCTATAGGAGACAGTGTAGTAGTATATTACCTCTATAGGAGACTATAGGAGACGTGTAGTAGTATATTACCTTATAGGAGCAGTTGTAGTAGTGTATTTCCTATATAGGAGACAGTGTTAAAAATTACCTATAGGAGACGTGTGTGGGTTTTTTCCTCTTAGGAGAAGTTTTTTTGTAGATATTTACCTTTAAGGGACGTGTGTAGTTTGTATTACCCCTTTGGGGAAGTTTTTAGTAGTATATTACCTCTATAGGAAAGTTTTTAGTTTATTACCTCTATAGGGGACGGTAGTGTTTTACCTATTAAACGTGCTGGAGTGTATTCCCCTATATAACAAAGTGCTGGGTGTATTACCTATATAGCAGACGGCTGGGTGATTACCTATATAGCAGACAGGCTGGAGTGTATTACCATATAGGAACAGGCGGAGGTTTTAACCCAAAAGCAGACGTGCTGGAGTGTATTTTCATATAGAGACAGTGTAGTAGATATTACCTCTATGGGACAGTTTTTATAGTATATTACCTTATGGAGACGGTAGTAGTATTTACCCCTATAGGGGAAAAGTTGTAGTAGTTTTACCTCTATAGGACACAGTGCTGGGGGTGATTTTCCCATATAGCAACGTCTGAGGAACCTCTATAGGAGCCTGCGGAGTGTATTCCCCCATAGGGGGACGTGTGGGGGTTATTTTCCTATTACAGACATGCTGGGTTGATTACCTATATAGCAGACATGCTGGGTGTATCCTCTATAGGGGAACATGCTGGATGATTACTTTTAGCAGACATGCTGGAGGGTTATTACCTATTAGCGACAGTGCTGGAGTGGAAAATTTCCTCTATGGAACAGGTGGGGTGTTTTTTAAACCCATATGCAGACAGTTGGAGTGTATTACCTATATAGGAAAGTGCTGGGTGTATTTCCTCTATAGGGCGTGTGGAGGTATACCTAAAAGCAGACAGGGTGGGTGTTTACCTAATACAGACATCGGATTGTATTACCTATATGCAGACGGGGAGTGTAACTCTTAGGAGACAGTGTGTAGTAATTACCCTATAGGAGGACAGGTGTATGTATTACCTCATAGGAACGTGCGGGGGTATTCCTCTATAGGGGACAGTGTAGTAAAATTTACCTCTATAGGGGACAGTGTAGTAGTTAAATTTCTCTATAGGACAGTGGGTAGTATTTTTCCCCTTAGGGACAGTTTTGTAGTATATTACCTCTTAGGGGACCGTGATAGTGTATTACCTTATGGAGACGTGTAGTAGTAATTACCTCTATAGGGACAGTGTGTAGGATATTACCTCTATAGGAGACCCCTTGTAGTAGTTAAATTTCCCTATAGGAGACAGTTTTTAGTAGTATATTACCCTTTTGCAAAAGTGCGGAGGATTCCTATATAGAGACAGGTGGAGTGTAACCCCTCATAGGGGACAGGCTGGGGTTATTACCTAATAGAGACAGTGTGGGGTGATTTCCCATATAGCAAAAGTGGGGTGTATTATATATAGCGACCGTGGGATGTATTACCAATAGAGACAGTCTGGGTGTATTTCCTTATAGCAGCAGTTGGATGTATTCCTATATAGCAACATGCTGGAGTGTATTACCTATATAGGAACAGGCCCGGGGGTATTTCCTTTTGGGACAGTGCGGAGGAACCTAATACAACAGTGCTAGGTGTTTACCTCTATAGGAAAGAAATGATAGTATATTTCCTCTAAGGGACAGTTTTTAGTAGGTATTACCTCTATGGGAAGGCTGGGTTTTACCTCTATGGAGACGGGGTAGTAGAAATACCTCTATAGGGACAGTTTTGTAGTATATTACCCCTTGGAGCATGTAGTATTATTAACCCTATAGGAGACGGTAGTATGTATTACCCCCTTTTAGGAGACAGTGTAGTTTATTACCCTATAGGAGACAGTGTATAGTTATTTCCTCTATAGGGGAAAATGTATGTATTTACCTCTTAGGGGGACAGTGTGTGTAAAGATTACCTATATAAGACGTTGGAGGGGATTACCTATTAAAGCAACAGGCTGGGGTTTTCCTATATAGAAGACAGTGTGTAGGTATTTCCTATATAGCCCAAAGTGCTGGAGGGATTAAACCATTAGCAGAAGTGCTGGAGGTATTACCATTGGAGACGTGTGGAGGATTACCCATATAGGGACATGTGGAGTGTATTACCCATTAGCAGCAGTTGGGAGTGTATTACCCCTATAAACAGTGAGGGTGATCCTATATAGCAGCCGTGTTAGTAGTGTTTACCATATACAACAGTGTGGGTGTTTACCTAATGGAGACGTGTGGAGTTATTTCCCTTTTGGAGACAGTGCGGAGTTTTATTTCCTATATAGCAGACAGTGCTGGAGTTGTAACCCATATAGCAGAAGTGTGGGGGTATTACCCATATAGCAGACAGTGCGGAGGATTTCCTTTAGCGCAGTGCTGGAGTGTATTTCAATAGCGACGTGCTGGAGTTTATTAAACCCAATAGGGCAGGTGGGGATACCTATATAGGAGACAGTGCTGGAGTGTATTACCTATATAGCAGACAGTGCTGGAGTGTATTACCTTATGGGGACGGTGGAGTGTATTACCCCTTTTAGGAGAAAGTGCGGGTGTATTACCTATATAGCAGACAGTGCTGGGTGTATACCTATTACAGAATGCTGGGTTTTATTTCCCATTTAAGAGACATTTCTGGAGTTTTACCCATATAGCAGGGTGCTGGAGGATTACCTATATGCAGACAGTTTCGGGGGTGATTACCTAAGCAGACAGTGCTGGAGTGTATTACCCAATTTGGAGCAGGCTGGGGTGTATTCCCTTTTGGAACAGGCTGGGTGTATTACCTATTTAAAAGACAGTACTGGAGTGATTTCCCTATAGGAGACAGTGTGGAGTGTATTTCCTATATAGCGACAGTGCGGGGGGGGTATTCCCATTAAACAGACAGTGTAGTAAAAAAATCTTATAAACAAGTTTTTTTTTTTTTGTTTTTACCTTAAGGGAACAGTGTTTAATATTTACCCTAAGGAAAGGGTTAATATTACCCTTTGGACAAGATTTTACCCAATTTTGAGACCCCCTGTGGGATGTTTTTTTACCTTTTAGAGACGGTGGAGTGTATTTCCTCTTTGGAGACAGTGTTTTTTGGAGGGTATTACCCCTAAGGCCCTGCTGGAGGTATTTCCATATAGCAAAGTGGGTGGGTGTATTACCCTTTGGAACAGGGGCTGGAGTGTATTACTCTAGGAACAGTGCTGGGGTGTATTACCTTATAGGAGGACGGCGGGGTGTATTTCCTTTTAGGACAGTGCTGGGGTGTATTACCTATATGCAGGTGAGTGTTATTACCTCTATAGGGACAGTGGGTGTAAAATTTCCTTATAGGGACGTGTAGGTAGGTTATTCCTTATAGGAAGTGGGAGTGTAATTTCCTTAAAAGAGACAAATTGTAGTAGTATATTCCTTATAGGAGGGGCGTTTATATATATTACCTCATAGGAGACAGTGTAGTGTTTTTACCCTATAGAGACAGTGTAGTATTAATTTCCTCTATAGAGACAGTGTAGTAAAGGGGGATATTACCCCTATGGAGGAAGGGACCCCCCCAAAAATGTATATTACCTCATAGGAGACAGTTTAGTATAACCTTATAGGAGACAGTGTAAGTGTATATTCCTCTATAGGGGACATTGATAGTGTATTACCTTTAGGACGTGTTGGGGGATTACCTATATAGCAGCTGCTGGAGTGTATTTCCCAATAGCAGGGAAATGCTGGAGGTTTTTTACCCCTATAAAAGCAGCATCTGGATTAGGCTTTTGTCTCAGCCCACAGCCGGCAGGCCTCAGTCTTAGTTAGACTCTCCACTCCATAAGAAAGCTGGTACTCCATCTTGGACAGGATATAGACCGGAACCACCTGAAGGACACAAACACACAGGTTTACTGAAGGTTTACTGAAGGTTTACTCAACACAGTGAACAGCATATACCAGATGTGTGGTACATGTTTACAAAGAGGGAGTGGGGAGTGTATTAAAACAAAAAACTCCTTTAAGTGAAATATTAGCTTTTGTCTGAGGCCGAAAAATACACGAAATTCAAAAGCTAATTTGACCTATGCACTAACTAGGCTTTTCAGCATAAGCAGCTTGACTACTGCTAGAGTACTGTAGCTTTAATGATCTACTGTACTGCAACAACAGATGTACTCACATTGGATGGGTTGATTAGGATTCAAATCTTCTCTCAAACAGCCTAATACATTCTCTTAGAGAAGGTTTACCCCATTAATGTACTTGGTAATGTAAATGTGTTTTTTTTTTCATGTAAGACTTCATCCCATTCCAATCATTTAAACATTATGGGGAGGTATTTCCAGAGACAGCTGGTGCTCTCATGCATGCTTCAGTGTTGCTTGCCTCGAAGCAAGCATAAAAGGTATTTAGCTCGTCTGGTAGGCTCGCGTCACTGGGCAGCTCGCGGCTGTGCTTCCCTTTGTGGTCCGTAATAGTTTGCAAGCCCTGCCACATCCGACGAGCGTCAGAGCCGGTGTAGTAGGATTCAATCTTAGTCCTGTATTGACTCTTTGCCTGTTTGATGGTTCGTTTGAGGGCATATTAGTGTTCCGCTCCTTGAAAGCGGCAGCTCTAGCCTTTAGCTCAGTGCGGATGTTGCCTGTAATCCATGGCTTCTGGTTGGGATATGTACGTACCGTCACTGTGGGGACGAAGTCGTCGATGGACTTTTTTATTTTATTTATTTATTTTATTTCACCTTTATTTAACCAGGTAAGCCAGTTGAGAACAAGTTCTCATTTACAACTGCGACCTGGCCAAGATAAAGCAAAGCAGTGCGATAAAAACAACAACACAGAGTTACATATGGGGTAAAACAAAACATAAAGTCAAAAATACAACAGAAAATATATATACAGTGTGTGCAAATGTAGCAAGTTATGGAGGTAAGGCAATAAATAGGCCATAGTGCAAAATAATTACAATTAGTATTAACACTGGAATGCTAGATGTGCAAGAGATGATGTGCAAATAGAGATACTGGGTTGCAAAAGAGCAAAATAAATAACAATATAGGGATGAGGTAGTTGGGCGGGCTAATTACAGATGGGCTGTGTACAGGTGCAGTGATCGGTAAGGTGCTCTGACAACTGATGCTTAAAGTTAGTGAGGGAGATAAGAGTCTCCAGCTTCAGAGATTTTTGCAGTTCGTTCCAGTCATTGGCAGCAGAGAACTGGAAGGAATGGCGGCCAAAGGAGGTGTTGGCTTTGGGGATGACCAGTGAGATATACCTGCTGGAGCGCAGACTACGACTTATTGATGATGCCGGTGACTGAGGTGGTATACTCCTGAATGCCATTGGATGAATCCCGGAACATATTCCAGTCTGTGCTAGCAAAACGGTCCTGTAGCTTAGCATCTGCTTCATCTGACCACTTTTTTATTAACCGAGTCACTGGTGCTTCCTGCTTTAGTTTTTGGTCAGATTTGCCAAATGGAGGGCGAGGGAGAGCTTTGTATGCGTCTCTGTGTGTGGAGTAAAGGTGGTCTAGAGTTTTTTTCCCTCTGGTTGCACATGTGACATGCAGGTAGAAATGAGGTAAAATGGATTTAAGGTGGCCTGCATTAAAGTCCCCGGCCACTAGGAGCGCCGCTTCTGGATGAGCATTTTCTTATAATAATAATAGATAATATGCCATTTAGCAGACGCTTTTATCCAAAGCGACTTACAGTCATATGTGCATACATTTTTACGTATGGGTGGTCCCGGGGATCGAACCCACTACCCTGGCGTTACAAGCGCCATGCTCTACCGATTGACCTTATACAGCTCGTTGAGAGCGGTCTTAGTGCAAATATTGTACAATCCAGGTGTGAAAAGCTCTTAGAGACTTACCCAGAAAGACTCAGAGCTGTAATCGCTGCCAAAGGTGATTCTAACATGTATTGACTCGGGATTGATTGAATACTTATGTAATCAAGATGTATTAGTGTTTTACAAATGTTTCTTCCAATTTGACATTACCGAGTATTTTGTGTAGATCGTTCACAAAAAAATGACAATTACATTTTAATCCCACCTTGTAACAACAGAATGTGTAAAAAGTCAAGGGGTGTGACTAGTTTCTGAAGGCCCTGTATCTCTGTCCAGACCTTGTTGCTGGTGCCCAGCCTGCGTGTATAGGCCTGACAGACGTCGCTCCGCACCAACAGCAGCAGGTCCTTTAGACTGTACAGTTTATACAGCAGGTTTCCTTCCTCTGGAGAGGAATAGTCCCCCTCGTCCTCAGCCCCCACCATGAGATCATCACACAGCAGCCCTGGGGGGGGACACATTAACATGTAACACAGCAGCCCTGGGGGGGGGACACATTAACATGTAACACAGCAGCCCTGGGGGGGGACACATTAACATGTAACACAGCAGCCCTGGGGGGGGGGACACATTAACATGTAACACAGCAGCCCTGGGGGGGGGGACACATTAACATGTAACACAGCAGCCATGGGGGGGGACACATTAACATGTAACACAGCAGCCCTGGGGGGGGACACATTAACATGTAACACAGCAGCCCTGGGGGGGGGACACATTAACATGTAACACAGCAGCCCTGGGGGGGGACACATTAACATGTAACACAGCAGCCCTGGGGGGGGGACACATTAACATGTAACACAGCAGCCCTGGGGGGGGGACACATTAACATGTAACACAGCAGCCCTGGGGGGGGGGACACATTAACATGTAACACAGCAGCCCTGGGGGGGGGACACATTAACATGTAACACAGCAGCCCTGGGGGGGGACACATTAACATGTAACACAGCAGCCCTGGGGGGGGGGACACATTAACATGTAACAACAAGCAGCCCTGGGGGGGGGACACATTAACATGTAACACAGCAGCCCTGGGGGGGGACACATTAACATGTAACACAGCAGCCCTGGGGGGGGACACATTAACATGTAACACAGCAGCCCTGGGGGGGGGGGACACACATTAACATGTAACACAGCAGCCCTGGGGGGGGACACATTAACATGTAACACAGCAGCCCTGGGGGGGGACACATTAACATGTAACACAGCAGCCCTGGGGGGGGACACATTAACATGTAACACAGCAGCCCTGGGGGGGGACACATTAACATGTAACACAGCAGCCCTGGGGGGGGACACATTAACATGTAACAGCAGCCCTGGGGGGGACACATTAACATGTAACACAGCAGCCCTGGGGGGGGACACATTAACATGTAACACAGCAGCCCTGGGGGGGGACACATTAACATGTAACACAGCAGCCCTGGGGGGGGACACATTAACATGTAAACACAGCAGCCCTGGGGGGGGGACACATTAACATGTAACACAGCAGCCCTGGGGGGGGGACACATTAACATGTAACACAGCAGCCCTGGGGGGGGGGACACATTAACATGTAACACAGCAGCCTGGGGGGGGACACATTAACATGTAACACAAACAGCCCTGGGGGGGGGACACATTAACATGTAACACAGCAGCCCTGGGGGGGGACAACATTAAACAGTAACACAGCAGCCCTGGGGGGGGACACATTAACATGTAACACAGCAGCCCTGGGGGGGGGACACATTAACATGTAACACAGCAGCCCTGGGGGGGGACACATTAACATGTAACACAGCAGCCCTGGGGGACACATTAACATGTAACAAGCAGCCTGGGGGGACACATTAACATGTAAACAGCATGCCTGGGGGGGACACATTAACATGTAACACAGCAGCCCTGGGGGGGGACACATTAACATGTAACACATCCACTGCTATCATCATTACACACATAACAACATGCTACAATCTCACATACTGTTGGAATATATTTGTATCTGTCCATGTTGATGGTTAATACTAACGTTTCTGTTGTACAGTCGTCCTGTTGACTATTGGTGCAGACCGAGAAGGGGCGTCGACATACGTCTCTCCATCCTGGGTACTCTCCAGGTAGATGGAGACACAGGGCTTCACCAGCGACTGGGGGTTTGGGTTGGAGAGGGGTTCTGCGGGCTGGGAGGACCAGGGGCTGGTTGGGTCCTGGGTCTGGTTGTTGGAGGGGTTGGGTTTGAGCATGGCTTTCTGCATGGCTAAGATCTGACCCAGCTGGTCACAGCACCCTGGTACCTTAGCCTTCCTGGACACTCTCCTTGTCCCAGTGGCGGGGAGTGGTGGTGACGAGGCGAGGCTGGGTCTGTCCCTGGGGGCGGAGGGGGACCGTGGGGTGTCCTGTTGATGAGTTGGGGAGAGTTGGGTCACCGTGGTCAGGGGTAACCTGTTGGTGGTGGTGACTGGAGATACAGGGTCATCGATCACCAGGCGCTCGTCCTCCGAGTCTCCACCTGAGAATAACTGCTCCTCAGAGTCCTGTAAAGAGCCAGGCTTCAGCTGATTGGCTGAGGGGACAGTAGCAGCCAATGATTGTTCAGCACAGCTCTGCTCTCCATGCTCTTTCTCTGAAACCACCTTCATGTCTGTCATGAAGTTCACCTCTTCCTCCTGACTTCTGCTGGCCTTAGAGACCTCTTTAACCAGTGTCCCACTGTACTGTTTAGACTTGGTTTTAGACTGACTAACCAAGTCTTTCTGTAGTTTATGGGTCTTCAGCCTCTTGGGGGACTGAGTCGTTTCTCCAAATGTTTCTAGGTCTGTGAGATCCAGACCAAAGTCCAGACCAGAGCTCTCAAACGACACCAGCCTCCTCTGGGAGCTCTCCTGTAGAACACACACTCAGTTAGAGCTCTCCAGTAGAACACACACTCAGTTAGAGCTCTCCTGTAGAACACACACTCAGTTAGAGCTCTCCAGTAGAACACACTCAGTTAGAGCTCTCCTGTAGAACACACACTCAGTTAGAGCTCTCCTGTAGAACACACACTCAGTTAGAGCTCTCCAGTAGAACACACTCAGTTAGAGCTCTCCAGTAGAACACACACTCAGTTAGAGCTCTCCAGTAGAACACACACTCAGTTAGAGCTCTCCAGTAGAACACACTCAGTTAGAGCTCTCCAGTAGAACACACACTCAGTTAGAGCTCTCCAGTAGAACACACTCAGTTAGAGCTCTCATGTAGAACACACACTCAGTTAGAGCTCTCCTGTAGAACACACACTCAGTTAGAGCTCTCCAGTAGAACACACTCAGTTAGAGCTCTCCTGTAGAACACACACTCAGTTAGAGCTCTCCAGTAGAACACACACTCAGTTAGAGCTCTCCAGTAGAACACACTCAGTTAGAGCTCTCCAGTAGAACACACACTCAGTTAGAGCTCTCCAGTAGAACACACTCAGTTAGAGCTCTCCTGTAGAACACACACTCAGTTAGAGCTCTCCTGTAGAACACACACTCAGTTAGAGCTCTCCTGTAGAACACACACTCAGAGCTCTCCTGTAGAACACACACTCAGTTAGAGCTCTCCTGTAGAACACACACTCAGTTAGAGCTCTCCTGTAGAACACACACTCAGTTAGAGCTCTCCTGTAGAACACACACTCAGAGCTCTCCTGTAGAACACACACTCAGTTAGAGCTCTCCAGTAGAACACACACTCAGTTAGAGCTCTCCTGTAGAACACACACTCAGTTAGAGCTCTCCTGTAGAACACACACTCAGAGCTCTCCTGTAGAACACACACTCAGTTAGAGCTCTCCAGTAGAACACACACTCAGTTAGAGCTCTCCTGTAGAACACACACTCAGTTAGAGCTCTCCTGTAGAACACACACTCAGTTAGAGCTCCCCAGTAGAACACACACTCAGTTAGAGCTCTCCAGTAGAACACACACTCAGTTAGAGCTCTCCTGTAGAACACACACTCAGTTAGAGCTCTCCTGTAGAACACACACTCAGTTAGAGCTCTCCTGTAGAACACACACTCAGTTACAGCTCTCCTGTAGAACACACACTCAGTTAGAGCTCTCCTGTAGAACACACACTCAGTTAGAGCTCTCCTGTAGAACACACACTCAGTTAGAGCTCTCCAGTAGAACACACACTCAGTTAGAGCTCCCCAGTAGAACACACACTCAGTTAGAGCTCTCCTGTAGAACACACACTCAGAGCTCTCCTGTAGAACACACACTCAGTTAGAGCTCTCCAGTAGAACACACACTCAGTTAGAGCTCTCCTGTAGAACACACTCAGTTAGAGCTCTCCTGTAGAACACACACTCAGTTAGAGCTCTCCTGTAGAACACACACTCAGTTACAGCTCTCCTGTAGAACACACACTCAGTTAGAGCTCTCCAGTAGAACACACACTCAGTTAGAGCTCTCCTGTAGAACACACACTCAGTTAGAGCTCTCCAGTAGAACACACACTCAGTTAGAGCTCTCCTGTAGAACACACACTCAGTTAGAGCTCTCCAGTAGAACACACACTCAGTTAGAAACCAACTTCTTACTCTAGGAAGGGAAACCATTACAAAACATCTGCTATGAAACCAAATGTAGGGTTAAGGTCAGGGTTAGGGGTTAGGTTACATACAGTTAGGAGATGTAGGGTTAAGTCAGGGTTAGGGGTTAGGTTACATACAGTTAGGAGATGTAGGGTTAAGGTTAGGGGTTAGGTTACTAACAGTTAGGAGATGTAGGGTTAAGGTCAGGGTTAGGGGTTAGGTTACATACAGTTAGGAGATGTAGGGTTAAGGTCAGGGTTAGGGGTTAGGTTACATACAGTTAGGAGATGTAGGGTTAAGGTCAGGGTTAGGGGTTAGGTTACATACAGTTAGGAGATGTAGGGTTAAGGTCAGGGTTAGGGGTTAGGTTACATACAGTTAGGAGATGTAGGGTTAAGGTCAGGGTTAGGGGTTAGGCTACATACAGTTAGGAGATGTAGGGTTAAGGTCAGGGTTAGGGGTTAGGTTACTAACAGCTAGGAGATGTAGGGTTAAGGTCAGGGTTAGGGGTTAGGTTACATACAGTTAGGAGATGTAGGGTTAAGTCAGGGTTAGGGGTTAGGTTACATACAGTTAGGAGATGTAGGGTTAAGGTCAGGGTTAGGGGTTAGGTTACTAACAGTTAGGAGATGTAGGGTTAAGGTCAGGGTTAGGGGTTAGGTTACTAACAGTTAGGAGATGTAGGGTTAAGGTCAGGGTTAGGGGTTAGGTTACTAACAGTTAGGAGATGTAGGGTTAAGGTCAGGGTTAGGGGTTAGGTTACTAACAGTTAGGAGATGTAGGGTTAAGGTCAGGGTTAGGGGTTAGGTTACTAACAGTTAGGAGATGTAGGGTTAAGGTCAGGGTTAGGGGTTAGGTTACTAACAGTTAGGAGATGTAGGGTTAAGGTCAGGGTTAGGGGTTAGGTTACTAACAGTTAGGAGATGTAGGGTTAAGGTCAGGGTTAGGGGTTAGGTTACATACAGTTAGGAGATGTAGGGTTAAGGTCAGGGTTAGGTTACATACAGTTAGGAGATGTAGGGTTTAGGTTAGGGGTTAGGTTACTAACAGTTAGGAGATGTAGGGTTAAGGTCAGGGTTAGGGGTTAGGTTACATACAGTTAGGAGATGTAGGGTTAAGGTCAGGGTTAGGGGTTAGGTTACATACAGTTAGGAGATGTAGGGTTAAGGTCAGGGTTAGGGGTTAGGTTACATACAGTTAGGAGATGTAGGGTTAAGGTCAGGGTTAGGGGTTAGGTTACATACAGTTAGGAGATGTAGGGTTAAGGTCAGGGTTAGGGGTTAGGCTACTAACAGTTAGGAGATGTAGGGTTAAGGTCAGGGTTAGGGGTTAGGTTACATACAGTTAGGAGATGTAGGGTTAAGGTCAGGGTTAGGGGTTAGGCTACTAACAGTTAGGAGATGTAGGGTTAAGTCAGGGTTAGGGGTTAGGTTACTAACAGTTAGGAGATGTAGGGTTAAGGTCAGGGTTAGGGGTTAGGTTACATACAGTTAGGAGATGTAGGGTTAAGGTCAGGGTTAGGGGTTAGGTTACATACAGTTAGGAGATGTAGGGTTAAGGTTAGGGTTAGGGGTTAGGTTACTAACAGTTAGGAGATGTAGGGTTAAGGTCAGGGTTAGGGGTTAGGCTACTAACAGTTAGGAGATGTAGGGTTAAGGTTAGGGTTAGGGGTTAGGTTACATACAGTTAGGAGATGTAGGGTTAAGGTCAGGGTTAGGGGTTAGGCTACTAACAGTTAGGAGATGTAGGGTTAAGGTCAGGGTTAGGGGTTAGGCTACATACAGTTAGGAGATGTAGGGTTAAGGTCAGGGTTAGGGGTTAGGCTACTAACAGTTAGGAGATGTAGGGTTAAGGTCAGGGTTAGGGGTTAGGCTACTAACAGTTAGGAGATGTAGGGTTAAGGTCAGGGTTAGGGGTTAGGTTACATACAGTTAGGAGATGTAGGGTTAAGGTCAGGGTTAGGGGTTAGGCTACATACAGTTAGGAGATGTAGGGTTAAGGTCAGGGTTAGGGGTTAGGTTACATACAGTTAGGAGATGTAGGGTTAAGGTCAGGGTTAGGGGTTAGGTTACATACAGTTAGGAGATGTAGGGTTAAGGTCAGGGTTAGGGGTTAGGCTACATACAGTTAGGAGATGTAGGGTTAAGGTCAGGGTTAGGTTACTAACAGCTAGGAGATGTAGGGTTAAGGTCAGGGTTAGGGGTTAGGCTACATACAGTTAGGAGATGTAGGGTTAAGGTCAGGGTTAGGGGTTAGGCTACATACAGTTAGGAGATGTAGGGTTAAGGTCAGGGTTAGGGGTTAGGTTACTAACAGTTAGGAGATGTAGGGTTAGGGTTAGGGGTTAGGTTACATACAGCTGGTAGTTGTCTGTCCATAGCTGGAACCTCAGTCATGAGGTGGAAGACGTTCTTAGTTCCAGTCTTGTTGACTGACAGCTTCATGCTCTCCTCATGGAACAGCAGACTCCTCTCTCTCACAGTCATCGCTGTCTGCAGCAGTGGAGGGTCGATGTACACTGTCTTACTCTGTTTACTGCCTGCAATACAGAGACATGGTTCACATTAGGGTTAGGGTCGAAACATGGTAGATCTCTCAATGGACTGTTCAAAGTTGGTCTGACCAATTTTAATCTATGCATCAAAACAGCTTTGATCACCTGGACTGGGAAATGTTCTGGGTCGCCTCTGGGAATAGTATCGACATATACAGTGAGGGGAAAAAGTATTTGATCCCCTGCTGAATTTGTACGTTGGCCCACTGACAAAGACATGATCAGTCTATACTTTTAATGGTAGGTTTATTTGACCAGTGAGAGACAGAATAACAACAAAAACATCCAGAAAAACACATTTTTTATAAATTGATTTTAATGAGGGAAATAAGTATTTGACCCCCTCTCAATCAGAAAGATTTCTGGCTCCCAGGTGTCTTTTATACAGGTAACAAACTGAGATTAGGAGCACTCTCTTAAAGGGAGTGCTCCTAATCTCAGTTTGTTACCTGTATAAAAGACACCTGTCCACAGAAGCAATCAATCAATCAGATTCCAAACTCTCCACCATGGCCAAGACCAAGGGGCTCACCAAGGATGTCAGGGACAAGATTGTAGACCTACACAAGGCTGGAATGGGCTACAAGACCATCGCCAAGCAGCTTGGTGAGAAGGTGACAACCGTTGGTGCAATTATTCGCAAATGGAAGAAACACAAAATAACTGTCAATCTCCCTCGGCCTGGGGCTCCAGGATGCTCCAGGATTACCTACACATACTGACCAGCTCATGTTATAGACAGAAGCGCGCTACATGGCAGACCAATCCGAACTCATCTCTCGGCATTTCCAGCCCACTCATTATCTCAGCCAATCATGGCTAGCGGGAAGGTTGCTGTCTTTTTCCGTGGCTAAACCAACTAGGCTCGTAATTTAACAATTTTATTCGTATTTACAGATGGCTTACAAGTTTGTTATTAAGGCACATGAAAGTTCACATGTTCCAGAAGAAATTTCTGCCAAAAAAGTTTACGTTCAAATGGCGCTCCTGTGAAGTAGTGACACGTGACATCCGCCTAGTTTCCTGAAATGAGTCACAAATGTTTTGGTATCCTTCCCCAGATCTGTGCCTCGACGCAATCCTGTCTCAGAGCTCTACGGAAAAATTCATTCGACCTCATGGCTTGGTTTTTGCTCTGACGTGCACTGTCAACTGTGGGACCTTATATAGACAGGTGTGTGCCTTTCCAAATCATGTCCAATCAATTGAATTTACCACAGGTGGACTCCAATCAAGTTTTAGAAACATCTGAAGGATGATCAATGGAAACAGGATGCATCCAAGCTCAATTTCGAGTCTCGTAGCAAAGGGTCTGAATACGTATATATATGTAAATAAGGTATTGCTGTTGTTTATTTTTAATAAATGTGCTAAAATTTCTAAAAACCTGTTCTTGCGTTGTCCTTATGGGGTATTGTGTGTAGATTGATGAGGGGAAAAAATAATGTAATCCATTTTAGAATAAGGCTGTAACGTAACAAAACGTGGAAAAAGGAAGGGGTCTGAATACTTTCCGAATGCACTGTAGCCATGTTATTACCTAGTACCCCTGCATATTGACTCAGTACTGGTACTCCCTGTATATAGCCATGTTATTACCTGGTACCCCTGACTCAGTACTGGTACTCCCTGTATATAGTCATGTTATTACCTGGTACCCCTGCATATTGACTCAGTACTGGTACTCCCTGTATATAGCCATGTTATTACCTGGTACCCCTGCATATTGACTCAGTACTGGTACTCCCTGTATATAGCCATGTTATTACCTGGTACCCCTGCATATTGACTCAGTACTGGTACTCCCTGTATATAGCCATGTTATTACCTGGTACCCTGCATATTGACTCAGTACTGGTACTCCCTGTATATAGCCATGTTATTACCTGGTACCCCTGACTCAGTACTGGTACTCCCTGTATATAGCCATGTTATTACCTGGTACTCCCTGTATATACCATGTTATACCCGGTACTCCCTGTATATAGCCATGTTATTACTGGTACTCCCTGTATATAGCCATGTTATTACCTGGTACTCCTGTATATAGCCATGTTATTACCTGTACTCCCTGTATATAACCATGTTATACCCGGTACTTCCTGTGTATAGCCATGTTATTACCTGGTACTCCCTGTATATAGCCATGTATTTCCTGGTACTCCCTGTATATAGCCATGTTATTACCTGGTACTCCCTGTATATAGCCAGTTATTTCCTGGTACTCCCTGTATATAGCCATGTTATTACCCGGTACCCCTGACTCAGTACTGGTACTCCCTGTATATAGCATGTTATTACCTGGTACCCCTGACTCAGTACTGGTACTCCCTGTATATAGCCATGTTATTACCTGGTACCCCTGACTCAGTACTGGTACTCCCTGTATATAGCCATGTTATTACCTGGTACCCCTGACTCAGTACTGGTACTCCCTGTATATAGCCATGTTATTACCTGGTACTCCCTGTATATAGACATGTTATTACCTGGTACCCCTGACTCAGTACTGGTACTCCCTGTATATAGCCATGTTATTACCTGGTACTCCCTGTATATAGCCATGTTATTACCTGGTACTCCCTGTATATAGCCATGTTATTACCTGGTACCCCTGACTCAGTACTGGTACTCCCTGTATATAGCCATGTTTTTACCTGGTACCCCTGACTCAGTACTGGTACTACCTCTACAGTGGGGAGAACAAGTATTTGATACACTGCCGATTTTGCAGGTTTTCCTACTTACAAAGCATGTAGAGGTCTGTACTTTTTATCATAGGTACACTTCAACTGTGAGAGACGGAATCTAAAACAAAAATCCAGAAAATCACATTGTATGATTTTTAACTGATTAATTTGCATAAGTATTTGATCACCTACCAACCAGTAAGAATTCCGGCTCTCACAGACCTGTTCGTTTTTCTTTAAGAAGCCCTCCTGTTCTCCACTCATTACCTGTATTAACTGCACCTGTTTGAACTCGCTACCTGTATAAAAGACACCTGTCCACACACTCAAACAGACTCCAACCTCTCCACAATGGCCAAGACCAGAGAGCTGTGTAAGGACATCAGGGATAAAACTGTAGACCTGCACAAGGCTGGGATGGGCTACAGGACAATAGGCAAGCAGCTTGGTGAGAAGGCAACAACTGTTGGCGCAATTCTTAGAAAATGGAAGAAGTTCAAGATGACGGTCAATCACCCTCGGTCTGGGGCTCCATGCAAGATCTCACCTCGTGGGGCATCAATGATCATGAGGAAGGTGAGGGATCAGCCTAGAACTACACGGCAGGACCTGGTCAATGACCTGAAGAGAGCTGGGACCACAGTCTCAAAGAAAACCATTAGTAACACACTACGCCGTCATGGATTAAAATCCTGCAGCGCACGCAAGGTCCCCCTGCTCAAGCCAGCGCATGTCCAGGCCCATCTGAAGTTTGCCAATGACCATCTGGATGATCCAGATGAGGAATGGGAGAAGGTCATGTGGTCTGATGAGACAAAAATAGAGCTTTTTGGTCTAAACTCCACTCGCCGTGTTTGGAGGAAGAAGAAGGATGAGTACAACCCCAAGAACACCATCCCAACCGTGAAGCATGGAGGTGGAAACATCATTCTTTGGGGATGCTTTTCTGCAAAGGGGACAGGACGACTGCACCGTATTGAGGGGAGGATGGATGAGGCTATGTATCGCGAGATCTTGGCCAACAACCTCCTTCCCTCAGTAAGAGCATTGAAGATGGGTCGTGGCTGGGTCTTCCAGCATGACAACGGCCCGAAACACACAGCCAGGGCAACTAAGGAGTGGCTCCGTAAGAGGCATCTCAAGGTCGGTCCTGTAGTGGCCGAGCCAGTCTCCAGACCTGAACCCAATAGAAAATTCTTTGGAGGGAGCTGAAAGTCCGTATTGCCCAGCGACAGCCCCGAAACCTGAAGGATCTGGAGAAGGTCTGTATGGAGGAGTGGGCCAAAATCCCTGCTGCAGTGTGTGCAGAAGGATTACAAATAACATTTGCTTTGACAATATGGCCGACCGGTGGCTTCAAAGCCTCTCATTGGCCAATACAAAGCATCAGCGATCCAGGGTTTATATACTTCACATCATTGATTTCAAGATATTTTGTGTTGAAAGAAATGTGCAGTTTTATAATGCTATTCTAAACATTTTTCTAAGCAGTTTTAAAGCTAATTTCCTGACATTCTACACATTTTGCCATGATGCTGAGAGAGAATTCTGCAGTTTTAAAGCTAATTTCCAGTCATTCTACACATTTCGCTGTCATATGCTATCTGGTGGGCCCCTGGTTAGGGTTCAGGGTAATGTCCTACCTCTCCCAAGGTTGATATTTGGAAGATCTCAATTGCATACTCCTCACGTCCTACCCATCTCCTTCTCAAATGGATGAGAAAGCCAGAGGTCCCTCCCTTTTGACCTTCTCCTCCAATGGGTTTTGAGAAGGAGACAAGGAGAAAGAACGTGAGCAGTATGACCACTACAGGTAATGAGGGGTTAGGGGTCAGGATGAGGGGTCAGGGGTCAGGATGAGGGGTTAGGGTCAGGGGTCAGGATGAGGGGTTAGGGGTCAGGGGTTAGGCATCAGGGGTTAGGTTATATCCTACCTCTCCCAGGGTTGGTTTTGACCACTACAGGTAACTCCCAGGGGTCAGGATGAGGGGTCAGGATGAGGGGTTAGGGTCAGGGGTCAGGATGAGGGGTCAGGGGTCAGGATGAGGGGTTAGGTTATATCCTACCTCTCCCAGGGTTGGTTTTGACCACTACAGGTAACTCCCAGGGGTCAGGATGAGGGGTTAGGGGTCAGGGGTCAGGCATCAGGGGTTAGGTTATATCCTACCTCTCCCAGGGTTGGTTTTGACCACTACAGGTAACTCCCAGGGGTCAGGATGAGGGGTCAGGATGAGGGGTTAGGGTCAGGGGTCAGGATGAGGGGTTAGGCATCAGGGGTTAGGTTATATCCTACCTCTCCCAGGGTTGGTTTTGACCACTACAGGTAACTCCCAGGGGTCAGTGAAGTCCGGACCGTGGTTGTCCAGCAGTCTGACCAGACTTTCTCTACTCAGGACAACATGGGGTTCATACCGACCACTCAGCTTCTCTGCATTACTGTCAGTACTGACGCCCTGAACATGAAACAAACACCAACATCTGAAGAATAGCCCATAATACTGTTTTCAGGGGATGGAGTAATAAAGTCACTTATTTAGTGTGTAAAATGGACTCTAAGACATAACACTGTTTAGAAACATCAATGGTGTGTCCAAAGTGATGCATCAGCCACCTCTAGAGATATTGTGAGGAAGAGTGCTGCTGGAGTGTGTTCATATACAAAGGCCTCCCAAAGACTGAGCTCCAACCTGAGACAATAACCAATGATGTCTCTCTTTGTTGTAGTAATTAAGAAGTAAAGCATTATTCTTACAGAGTGTGAGTGCTTTGCTTTCTTCACTGGAGGAATATCTGATGAAACAGTCTCGTAGTCAAATGACAACTGCGCTTCATTAGGCACCACCTTGTGGTCTGTGATCACCACCTCGCCCTGGAGACACAGAAAGGAGGAGGACAGGTTCTGTGGCTCAAGTACAATGGATGATATAGAATACATTATGTTATATAGAACACATTATTCTAGTATATCTCACCATAGTAAGGAGCTGTTCTATAGAACACATTATTCTAGTATATCTCACCATAGTAAGGAGCTGTTCTATAGAACACATTATTCTAGTATATCTCACCATAGTAAGGAGCTGTTCTATAGAACACATTATTCTAGTATATCTCACCATAGTAAGGAGCTGTTCTATAGAACACATTATTCTAGTATATCTCACCATAGTAAGGAGCTGTTCTATATAGAACACATTATTCTAGTATATCTCACCATAGTAAGGAGCTGTTCTATTGAACACATTATTCTAGTATATCTCACCATAGTAAGGAGCTGTTCTATAGAACACATTATTCTAGTATATCTCACCATAGTAAGGAGCTGTTCTATAGAACACATTATTCTAGTATATCTCACCATAGTAAGGAGCGTTCTATAGAACACATTATTCTAGTATATCTCACCATAGTAAGGAGCTGTTCTATAGAACACATTATTCTAGTATATCTCACCATAGTAAGGAGCTGTTCTATATAGAACACATTATTCTAGTATATCTCACCATAGTCAGGAGCTGTTCTATATGGAACACATTATTCTAGTATATCTCACCATAGTAAGGAGCATGTTCTATAGAAACACATTATTCTCGTATATCTCACCATAGTAAGGAGCTGTTCTATATAGAACACATTATTCTAGTATATCTCACCATAGTAAGGAGCTGTTCTATAGAACACATTATTCTAGTATATCTCACCATAGTAAGGAGCTGTTATATATAGAACACATTATTCTAAGTATATCTCACCCTAGTAAGGGGGTTCTATAGAACACATTATTCTGATATCCACCATAGTAAAGGGGCTGTTCTATAAACCCCAAATTTTCTAGTATATCTAACATAGTAAGGAGCTGTTCTATAGAACAAATTATTCTAGTATTTCACAAGTAAGGGCTTTCTTTGAAAATTTTTTAAAAAAAAAGGACCCTTAAAAAATTTTTTTTATCCCAAAAATTTTTTATAACAACAGAACTACCATAGTGGGGCGATTTTAAAAAAAAATTTTGTTTTTCCCCCGTGGGGGGGATAGAAAATTTTGAATTTAAAAAGGGGGGCGGCACTTTTCGTTTCCCCAAAATTTTTTTCCCGAAACTCCTAGAGGAGTGTTCTATAGAACACCCTTATTCAGATATCTCCCTGTAAGGAGTGTTCTATTTAAAAACATATTCTGTATATTCCCCCATAGTAAGGGGCTGTTCTATAGAACACATTATTTAGAATCTCACCATAGTAAGGAAACTGTTTATAGAACCAATTATTTAGTAATCTCACCATAGTAGGAGTTTCTAAGAAACTATTTGTATATCTCACCATAGTAAAGGGGTTTAAAAGAACACATTATTCTAGTTATCTCACCATAGTAAGGGGGTTTTTTATATAGAAAAATTATTTAGTATATCTACCTAGTAAGGAAACGTTTATGAACACATTTTTAAATATATTCACCATGTAAAGGGGCTTTTAAAAAAAACTTATTTAGATATTCCCCTAGTAAGGAGCTGTTCTTTTAGAAAATTTTTCTAGTAATTCCCATAGTAAGGAGCTGTTATAAAAACACATATTGTTTTTCTCACCTAGTAAAGGGGTGTTTATAGAAAAACCTTTTTCTGTAATCCACCATAGAAAGGGGCGTTTTATAGAACAATTATTCTAGTATATTCACCATAGTAAGGAGCTGTTTTTAGAAACATTATTCTAGTATTTACCATAGTAAGGGCTGTTTTTATAGAACACTTTTTCAGTATCTACCATAGTAAGGAGGTTTATAGAACAATTTTTCTAGTTATCCCCATAGTAGGAGTGTTTTATAGAACCATTATTTTTAGTTAAACTCACCCTAGTAAGGAGCTTTTATAGAACAATTTTTTTGTATATTCACATAGTAAGGAGCGTTCTATAGAACACATTTTGTTACCAAACCCTAGTAAGGAGGTTTTTTAGAACACTTTTTGTAAATTCACCCCTAGTAAGGAGCTGTTAAAAGAACACATTATTCTGTATATTCACCATAGTAAGGAGTGTTTTTTAGAACACATCTTTTTAAATCTACCCTAGTAAGGAGCTGTTTTATTAAAAAACCCTTTTTGTTATCTCCCCCATAAGGAGTGTTCTATAGAAAACCCTTATTCTAGTTATCTCCCCATAGTAAAGGGGTTTTATAGAAAACCCTTATTCGTATATTCACCTAGTAAGGAGGTTCTTAAGAAAAATTATTCTATATCTCACCATGTAAGGGCGTTTTGAAACCCCTTTTTAGTATATCTACCATGTAAGGAGCTGTTCAAAAGAAAACTTATTCTAGTAATCCCCCCATAGTAGGAGCTGTTCATAGAAAAATTTTTAGATATCTACCATATAAGGAGTGTTTATTGAACACATTTTTCTAGTTACTCACCATAGTAAGGAGTGTTCTTATAGAAACATTTTTTAGATATTACCATAGAAGGAAACTGTTTATAAACACATTATTCTGTTATTCCCATAGTAAGGGCTGTTATATAAAACATTATTTTAGTTATCTCACCCTAGTAAGGAGCGTTCTTTGAAACATTTTTCTGTTTTATCCCCCATGTAAGGAGCTGTTCTATGAACACATTTTTTAGTAATCTCACCAAAAAGGAGCTGTTTATGAACACATTATTTAGTATTTCCCATGTAAGGGAAATGTTCTATAAAAAACTTATCTAGATATCTACCCTTAAAGGGGCTGTTTTATAGAACAATTATTTAGTAATCCACCATAGTAAGGGCGTTTTTTATAGAACACATTATTTTAGTATATCTCACCATAGTAAGGGGCGTTATATTAGAACACATTATTCTAGTAATTCCCATAGAAAGGGGCTGTCATAGAACACATTATTTTTAGATATCTCACATAGTAGAGTGTTTTATAGAAACATATTTAGATATCTCACCCTGTAAGGAGCTGTTTCCCATGAAAACATTATTCTAGTTATTCACCATTTGTAAGGAGCTGTTTTTTAAAAAAATTTTTCTAGTATATTCACCCCTGTAAGGAAACTGTTTTATGAACACATTATTCCCAGTATAAACTCACCAAGTAAGGGGCGGTTTTTATTTTAAAAACCATTTTCTAGTATTCTCCATATAAGGAGCTGTTTTTTTAGAAAACCCTTATTCAGTATTTCCCCCCATACCGGGGCTTTTTATAGAACCAAATTTTTCTAGTATAATTTTACCATAGTAAAAGGGGTTTTTTATAGAACAAAATTTTCTTTTATATCTCACCATAGTAAAAGGGGCTGTTCTATAAGAACACATTTTTTCTAGTATAAACTCCCCCCGTAAAAGGGGCTGTTCTTTTAGAAAAACATTTTCTGTATATCTCACCCATGTAAGGAGTTTTTCTATAGAAAAAACCTTTTTCTAGTAACTCACCATAGTAAGGAGCTGTTTCTCAAAGTTGAGCTGGAGGCTGGATGAGAAGTTTCCTCCTGTGAGGCTGGTTATCTCATGGATCAGATAGAGTTGGGGATACTTCCTCATCTGGTCTCGACAGGCTCTCAGGTACTCCTAGAACAGAGAAAGATGAGAGTACCGTTCAGAGTTGTAACATCAGCAGACTAGTAACCAGGAAGTAACAGTGCATTACCTCTGAGAAGAGCGCGGCCCCCTGGGATATGTAGTTGTAGTCGTCGGGACACATCCTGGCCACTTCCTGAAGGTACCTCATGAACTCTGTCCTCTCACTGTTCACATGCAGCAACAGAGTCTGATCGGCAGAGATAAACAGGGTTAGTGCAGGATCGGGTAGGGTGAAGGTACGCCGTGATTCCAATCTGACAGTGAGGAAGGCACAATTCACAATATTGAGTTCTGTCAATGTCAATAGCATGTTTTAAGTACAATGACCGAATGCACAGGCTCTGACCTTCCAGGAACAGCCACAGGCTCTGACCTTCCAGGAACAGCCACAGGCTCTGACCTTCCAGGAACAGCCACAGGCTCTGACCTTCCAGGAACAGCCACAGGCTCTGACCTTCCAGGAACAGCCACAGGCTCTGACCTTCCAGGAACAGCCACGGGCTCTGACCTTCCAGGAACAGCCACAGGCTCTGACCTTACAGGAACAGCCACGGGCTCTGACCTTACAGGAACAGCCACAGTGTGACCTTCCAGGAACAGCCACGGCCTCTGACCTTACAGGAACAGCCACAGGCTCTGACCTTCCAGGAACAGCCACAGTGTGACCTTACAGGAACAGCCACAGGCTCTGACCTTACAGGAACAGCCACAGGCTCTGACCTTCCAGGAACAGCCACAGGCTCTGACCTTCCAGGAACAGCCACAGGCTCTGACCTTCCAGGAACAGCCACAGGCTCTGACCTTCCAGGAACAGCCACGGCCTCTGACCTTCCAGGAACAGCCACAGGCTCTGACCTTCCAGGAACAGCCACAGGCTCTGACCTTCCAGGAACAGCCACAGGCTCTGACCTTCCAGGAACAGCCACAGGCTCTGACCTTCCAGGAACAGCCACAGGCTCTGACCTTCCAGGAACAGCCACAGGCTCTGACCTTCCAGGAACAGCCACAGGCTCTGACCTTACAGGAACAGCCACGGGCTCTGACCTTACAGGAACAGCCACGGGCTCTGACCTTACAGGAACAGCCACAGGCTCTGACCTTCCAGGAACAGCCACAGTGTGACCTTACAGGAACAGCCACAGGCTCTGACCTTCCAGGAACAGCCACAGGCTCTGACCTTACAGGAACAGCCACGGGCTCTGACCTTCCAGGAACAGCCACGGGCTCTGACCTTCCAGGAACAGCCACAGGCTCTGACCTTCCAGGAACAGCCACAGGCTCTGACCTTACAGGAACAGCCACAGTGTGACCTTCCAGGAACAGCCACAGTGTGACCTTCCAGGAACAGCCACAGGCTCTGACCTTCCAGGAACAGCCAGTGTGACCTTCCAGGAACAGCCACAGTGTGACCTTCCAGGAACAGCCACATGCTCTGACCTTATAGGAACAGCCACAGTGTGACCTTATAGGAACAGCCACAGTGTGACCTTATAGGAACAGCCACAGTGTGACCTTACAGGAACAGCCACAGTGTGACCTTCCAGGAACAGCCACAGGCTCTGACCTTCCAGGAACAGCCACAGTGTGACCTTCCAGGAACAGCCACAGTGTGACCTTCCAGGAACAGCCACAGGCTCTGACCTTCCAGGAACAGCCACAGTGTGACCTTACAGGAACAGCCACAGTGTGACCTTCCAGGAACAGCCACAGGCTCTGACCTTCCAGGAACAGCCACAGTGTGACCTTCCAGGAACAGCCACAGGCTCTGACCTTCCAGGAACAGCCACAGGCTCTGACCTTCCAGGAACAGCCACAGGCTCTGACCTTCCAGGAACAGCCACAGGCTCTGACCTTACAGGAACAGCCACAGGCTCTGACCTTCCAGGAACAGCCACAGGCTCTGACCTTCCAGGAACAGCCACAGGCTCTGACCTTCCAGGAACAGCCACAGGCTCTGACCTTCCAGGAACAGCCACAGGCTCTGACCTTCCAGGAACAGCCACAGGCTCTGACCTTCCAGGAACAGCCACAGGCTCTGACCTTCCAGGAACAGCCACAGGCTCTGACCTTCCAGGAACAGCCACAGTGTGACCTTCCAGGAACAGCCACAGGCTCTGACCTTCCAGGAACAGCCAGTGTGACCTTCCAGGAACAGCCACAGTGTGACCTTCCAGGAACAGCCACATGCTCTGACCTTCCAGGAACAGCCACAGGCTCTGACCTTCCAGGAACAGCCACAGGCTCTGACCTTCCAGGAACAGCCACAGGCTCTGACCTTCCAGGAACAGCCACAGGCTCTGACCTTCCAGGAACAGCCACAGGCTCTGACCTTCCAGGAACAGCCACAGTGTGACCTTACAGGAACAGCCACAGTGTGACCTTCCAGGAAGAGCCACAGTGTGACCTTCCAGGAACAGCCACAGTGTGACAACAGCATAGCGTGTTGAGAGCATTATGTGCATGAGGAGCTTCTCTGTATGTATTGTGCAAATGAAGTTTATTATATTCGTATTATTAAGAGCCAGTCAGTAGCCTACCTGAGGAGCTTCTCTGGGCTGTTTGCTGGTCAGCACACGGAGATATGTCAGCTGGTCTTTACTGGTGAGTCTGGAGAAACAGGGGTATGGTACCCTGGGCTCCGGGAACATCTCTGGTACCTGGCCGGGAAGGACGGGAAGGCTGGGGTCCTGGCCGGGGGGTCTAGGGTGGCTGGGGTCCTGGCCGGGGGGCCTAGGGTGGCTGGGGTCCTGGCCGGGGGGCCTAGGGTGACTGGGGTCCTGGCCGGGGGGTCTAGGGTGACTGGAGACTGCCTCACCAGCAGGTGGGTGGTCATCTTTATGGTCACTGTGTTCATCCTGACTGTCAGAACTGGGCTCTCTGGTGCCACTCCTCTCATCCTGACTGTCAGAACAGGGCTCTCTGGTGCCACTCCTCTCATCCTGACTGTCAGAACTGGGCTCTCTGGTGCCACTCCTCTCATCCTGACTGTTACTGCTGCTGCTTTTGGACTGGTTCTGTGTAGAGGGGAGCTTGGCTGGTCCTGTTGGGTCCCCTAACTCCTCCTTCACTTCAACCTTTACTGCGGGACTGGACACCACAACAACTGCTCATCATTCTAATGGTTACCAGTTCCAACAATGAGAAAGAGCTCAAACTCCCATCAATCAGCTGACCATTGACGCTATGTTAGGTAGCTACTGCTAGATGCATACTGTACCTTACTTCAGCCATATCCCAGAGTCCCTTCATGGTCGGCGCCAGGGAGTACTTGTCATAGAGGTCTTTGTTGAATAATAGACAGTCTGGGGCTGGGAGCGGGACGTCCTCCCTACGAGGAGATTGGGAACAGCATTTCATCATGATTACGTTACAACTAACATCACTACGTCAAACACTCTCGCCAAATGGTTAATCACAAACCAAGCTCACCAGGTCAGCTCCATATGTACTGCTGTATTAGGTTTGCCTGGTTATGAGATGAGATGTAGCTGAGAACAATACAACTATAAATAGTTAGCTAGTAGCCTGTGATATACTTGAACGATGGCATTGATGTGAGCTTCAGCGTTCAACGTGAAACCGCTGTGATACAGGCAATAATAACTAAGTACTTCCGGGTCAAGGACTTCTTCTTCGATTATGGTTTAACGGCGGTTGCCATCCAATTTGTTGCATTACCGCCACCTACTAGACTGGAGTGCAAAATACTGTATCCAGGCGTTTTAAGATCTGGCTGGCGTCAGCAACGTCTGAGCAGAGGAATGCGCCCTCTATGTTTGGCATCTGTGAAAAGTGTCTTTGTATTTTCTTTTATGAGGGTGTAAATTATATTATGACACATTCTTGTAAAAAGTTACTGCAAACCGTTCTGGAGCTCCTCCAATTTGGAACACCTCGAACTGGACTAAGATTTTTTCTTTATTGAGTCTGACGCAACGGATATACTGTTTCTCCGAGACCAGGCCCAAATCCCCATTATTCGTGTGAAGAAAAGACGGAGGTACAGGGGGCGGAGATCGGGGTGCCTTGTGAGAATTCAAGCGGATAACCCGCCTCTACCATCCGTTCTATTGGCCAACGTGCAATCATTGGAGAATAAACTGGATGATCTCTGTTCGAGACTATCCTACCAACGGGACATTAAAAACTGTAATATCTGATGTTTCACGAGTCGTGGCTGAATGACGACATGGATAATATAGAGCTGGCTGGGTTTTCTGTGCATCGGCAGGTCAGAACAGCTACGTCCGGTAAGACGAGGGGTGGGGGTGTGTGTCTATTTGTCAATAACAGCTGGTGCGCGATGTCTAATATTAAAGAAGGCTTGAGGTATTGCTCGCCTGAGGTAGAGTATCTCATGATAAGCTGCAGACCACACTATCTACCAAGAGAGTTTTCATCTATATTTTTCATAGCCGTCTATTTACCACCACAAACCGATGCTGGCACTAAGGCCACACTCAACGAGCTGTGTGAGGCCATAAGCAAACAAGAAAATGCTCATCCAGAAGTGGCGCTCCTAGTGGCCGGGAACTTTAATGCAGGCAAACTTAAATCCGTTTTACCTAATTTCTACCATTATGTTAAATATGCAACCAGAGGAAAAGAAACTCTAGACCACATTTACTCCACACACAGAGATGCATACAAAGCTCTCCCTCACCCTCCATTTGGCAAATCTGACCATAATTCTATCCTCCTGATTCCTGCTTACAATCAAAAACTAAAGCAGGAAGTACCAGTGTCTCTCTCAATACGGAAGTGGTCAGATGACGCGGATGCTACGCTACAGGACTGTTTTGCTAGCACAGACTGGAATATGTTCTGGGATTCATCCAATGGCATTCAGGAGTATACCACCTCAGTCACCGGCTTCATCAATAAGTGCATCGACGATATTGTCCCCACAGTGACCGTACGTACATATCCCAACCAGAAGCCATGGATTACAGGCAACATCTGCACCGAGCTAAAGGCTAGAGCTGCCGCTTTCAAGGAGCGGGACACTAATCCGGAGGCTTATAATAAATCCCACTATGCCTTCAGATGAACCATCGAACAGGCAAAGCGTCAACACAGGACTAAGATTGAATCCTACTACCACGGCTTTGACGCTCGTCGGATGTGGCAGGGCTAGCAAACTATTACGGACTACAAAGGGAAACCCATCAGCGAGCTGCCCAGTGACGAGAGCCTACCAGACAAGCTAAATGCCTTCTATGCTAGCTTCGAGGGAAGCAACACTGAAGCATGCATGAGAGCACCAGCTCTTCCGGACGACTGTGTGATCACGCTCTCCGTAGCCGATGTGAGCAAGACCTTTAAACAGGTCAACATTCACAAGGCCATGGTTTACTAGGACGTGTACTCAGAGCATGCGCTGACCAACTTGCAAGTGTCTTCACTGACATTTTCAACCTCTCCTTGACCAAGTCTGTAATACCTACATGTTTCAAGCAGATCACCATAGTCCCTGTGCCCAGAAAAGCGAAGGAAACCTGCCTAAATGACCATTAAGTTCTTTGAAACGCTAGTCATGGCTCACATCAACACCATCATCCCGGAAACCCTAGACCCACTCCAATTCGCACAACACTCCAACAGATCCACAGATGACACAATCTTTTATTTTACTTTTTTATTTAAAAAAAAATGCATTGTTGGTTGAGGGCTGTAAGTAAGCATTTCACGGTAATGTCTACACCTGTTGTATTCGGCGCATGTGGCAAATACAATTTGATTTGATTTGATCTCAATCACACTCCACACTGCCTTTTCCCACCTGGACAAAAGGAACAGCTACCGTGGGGAAAAAAAAGTATTTAGTCAGCCACCAATTGTGCAAATTCTCCAACTATGACAGACAAAATGAGAAAAAAAATCCAGAAAATCACATTGTAGGATTTTTTATGAATTTATTTGCAAATTATGGTGGAAAATAAGTATTTGGTCACCTACAAACAAGCAAGATTTCTGGCTCTCACAGACCTGTAACTTCTTCTTTAAGAGGCTCCTTTGTCCTCCACTCGTTACCTGTATTAATGGCACCTGTTTGAACTTGTTATCAGTATAAAAGACACCTGTCCACAACCTCAAACAGTCACACTCCAAACTCCACTATGGCCAAGACCAAAGAGCTGTCAAAGGACACCAGAAACAAAATTGTAGACCTGCACCAGGCTGGGAAGACTGAATCTGCAATAGGTAAGCAGCTTGGTTTGAAGAAATCAACTGTGGGAGCAATTATTAGGAAATGGAAGACATACAAGACCACTGATAATCTCCCTCGATCTGGGGCTCCACGCAAGATCTCACCCCGTGGGGTCAAAATGATCACAAGAACGGTGAGCCAAAAATCCCAGAACCACACGGGGGGACCTAGTGAATGACCTGCAGAGAGCTGGAACCAAAGTTACAAAGCCTACCATCAGTAACACATTACGCCACCAGGGACTCAAATCCTGCAGTGCCAGACATGTCCCACTGCTTAAGCCAGTACATGTCCAGGCCTGTCTGAAGTTTGCTAGAGTGCATTTGGATGATCCAGAAGAGGATTGGGAGAATGTCATATGGTCAGATGAAACCAAAATAGAACTTTTTGGTAAAAACTCAACTCGTCGTGTTTGGAGGACAAAGAATGCTGAGTTGCATCCAAAGAACACCATACCTACTGTGAAGCATGGGGGTGGAAACATCATGCTTTGTGGCTGTTTTTCTGCAAAGGGACCAGGACGACTGATCCGTGTAAAGGAAAGAATGAATGGGGCCATGTATCGTGACATTTTGAGTGAAAACCTCCTTCCATCAGCAAGGGCATTGAAGATGAAACGTGGCTGGGTCTTTCAGCATGACAATGATCCCAAACACACCGCCCGGGCAACGAAGGAGTGGCTTCGTAAGAAGCATTTCAAGGTCCTGGAGTGGCCTAGCCAGTCTCCAGATCTCAACCCCATAGAAAATCTTTGGAGGGAGTTGAAAGTCCGTGTTGCCCAGCGACAGCCCCAAAACATCACTGCTCTAGAAGAGATCTGCATGGAGGAATGGGCCAAAATACCAGCAACAGTGTGTGAAAACCTTGTGAAGACTTACAGAAACGTTTGACCTGTGTCATTGCCAACAAAGGGTATATAACAAAGTATTGAGAAACTTTTGTTATTGACCAAATACTTATTTTCCACCATAATTTGCAAATAAATTCATTAAAAATCCTAAAATGTGATTTTCTGGATTTATTTTTCTCATTTTGTCTGTCATAGTAGAAAATTACAGGCATCTCTCATCTTTTTAAGTGGGAGAACTTGCACAATTGGTGGCTGACTAAATACTTTTTTCCCCCACTGTATGTGAGAATGCTGTTCATTGACTACAGCTCAGCGTTCAACAACCATAGTGCCCACAAAGCTCATCACTAAGCTAAGGACCCTGGGACTAAACACCTCTCTCTGCAACTGGATCCTGGACTTCCTGACGGGCCGCCCCCAGGTGGTAAGGGTAGGTAACAACACATCCGCCATGCTGATCCTCAACACGGGGGCCCCTCAGGGGTGTGTGCTCAGTCCCCTCCTGTACTCCCTGTTCACCCACGACTGCATGGCCAGGCACGACTCCAACACCATCATTAACTTTGCTGACGACACAACGGTGGTAGGCCTGATCACCAACAACGATGAGACAGCCTATAAGGAGGAGGTCAGAGACCTGGCAGTGTGGTGCCAGGACAACAACCTCTCCCTCAACGTGAGCAAGACAAAGGAGTGATCGTGGACTACAGGAAAAGGAGGGCCGAACACGCCCCAATTCACATCGACAGGCTGTAGTGGAGCGGCATCAGCATCAGCTGCGACGCGCACCACAGGCTTGGTGCGAGGGACAGGAACAGGCTGGACCGGGCTGGCAACGCGCACCACAGGCTCGGTGCGAGAGGCAGGAACAGGCCGGACCGGGCTGGCAACGCGCACCACAGGCTCGGTGCGAGAGACAGGAACAGGCCGGACCGTACTGGGGACACACGCCACTGGCCCTACGCGGGGATCAGGAACGGGCCGGACCGGACTGGCAACACACCCCAGTACCTCTCGCCGTGCCTCTACATTCTCCTACCCCCTGGTGTCCATTAACTCCCGTAACCTGGCGGCCTCCTCTGCCAACCCTCTGAACCACTCTATCCCGTACTCCTGCTGCCCCGTCGGCCACGGCGTGAGCCCCCCCCTAAAAAATGTATGGGCTTGTCTCTCCCCCGTGGACCAGGCCTCCATGGTTCTCGCCCAACTCTCACTCCACTGCTCCCAATTCCAACCTCTCTCCTCATCACGCTGCTTGACCCAGTTTTGGTGGGATCTTCTGTCACGCTCGTCGGGAAGAGAGGACCAATGTGCAGCGTGGAATGCGTACATATTTATTTCAGTGTACACACAACGAACAAAACAACAAACGATACGAAACG